GGCAAACGCGGCGGCGGCGCCTCCAGCGCGGCCCGAGCCCGCGGGCCCGCCCCGCGCCGCAGGTCTCGGAAACGCAACTCATCTTGGTCTTTCAGATGAGAATTATTCCAACAGCAGCACTGTACACCGACTGCACAGTCTCGGGCACGGTTTGTGCGTAAATCAGAGCTTCCAAGTGAAGCAGTCTTCACTTCCGGGGGGCTGATGGTTGCCAGATAACTGGACTCACGAACTTTAGCAACTTTTTTATTTCATGTTAGGTATCGAGGTCAAATATAGGATTGCAAGTATTCCAAAAACAAACCATCATTGACACAGGACTGCCTGAGTTTAGCAGAAATTCCCTGGTTTAAAGTTAGCCCACTTTGGCTGTAACAAAGACAGTGAACGCTGAAGGCTCCTGCATAACTTTGTGACTGCATAGTTCTTGCTCCTAACAGATGCCTTCAGTTATCAATCCCAGGTGAAAATCTTGAAAAAGAAAGTTAAGCAACACCCTGCAAGATCTCTTGTTCAGGCAGCAAATTACAGCTATTACTATGTGGAGAGAAGACTTCAGTCTTCCAGGCTATCACTCACTATGACTTCTTGAGAACATAGACACAGGACTTCATTAGCTGTAAGCATTTAGTGTTTCATAATTATACCTTTTGCAATTTCTTTCCATCAACTTTTGAGCTGGTAACATTCATGCACTTCTCAATTTCTAATTATTATTAAATAAATAAACCCTCCAAAGCCCCAATATCCAAAAAGCTTTTGACGGCTATGGCTCTGGGTTGAGGGCAATGACAGTGTGAACACATTACTGGCTCTGCAGCAGCACTATTGCGCCCAGAGGTGGATACAGTTCCAAGATGGGTAGGCCTTAAAACCAACAGATGAGCATTCAAAGTCTATCAGATAAAGTACTACAGTTTGAAAAAACCCTCAGTTTTCAGATAGCGGCCAACATACCACAGCTTCTGAAGTTTAGAAGAGATACACCCTCGTTCAATTAACAGGGGAAAACAAGAGAAAAAGAAATGGCAGGGAGAGAACAGCAAACCCCAGCAGTATTTTAGATCTTTCTGGGCAAAAGCTAGCCTTCACTGCTACCCATGTTCTCAGTTTTGTCATGCTTAAAAAGCTGACCCCTTTGATTTTTCTGATATCCTTCTACATTAAGAGCAGCTCCTTTTTCCCCCCTCAATGTTTCTATGGCAACGCAAACCAACAGCTAATGAATGTTATCCTCCTCCTCTCCAGAGCAGTCATTCACTACATCTGCATTCCAGCTTTGTTTCCATCGAGATTCCTTCTCCAAGCATTACACTTTCTGCTAGCCTTATATGAATTAACCTTACATACTAGCCTTACATAAATTATTTATTTCTACTAACCACGGCTCTGTTACCGTACAGAATCACACAACAGCTGGGGTTTGAAGGGACCTCTGGGGATCGCCTAGCCCAATCCCCCCGGCTCAAAGCTGGGTCACTTAGAGGAGGTTGCTCAGGGCCGGGTCCAGCTGGGTTGTGAGTATCTCCAAAGCACGGAGAGTCCACAACCTCTCTGGGTAACCTGTTCTGGTGTCTGACCACCCTCACAGCAATTTTTTTTTTCCTTACATTTAAATGGAATTTCCTGTTTCAATTAGTGCCCATTGCCTCTTTTCCTGTCACTAGCCATCACTGAGAAGAGTCTGGCTACATCTTCTTTATTCCCCATCAGGTGTTTATATACATTAATAAGATCCCCGGGGAGCCGTCTCTTCTCTAGGCTGAGCAGGCCCAGCTCTCGCAGCCTCTCCGCGCAGGGCAGAGGCTCCAAGCCCCTAAGCATCTTGGCGGTCCTTTGCTGCACACGTTCTGGTAGGTCCGTATCTCTCCTGCCCTGGGGAGCCCAGGCCTGGGCCCAGCTCTCCAGCTGTGGCCTCCCCAGTGGTGAGCAGAGGGGAAGGCTCCTCTCCCTCGCCCCGCTGGCAATGCTGTTCCTTGTGCAGCCCAGGAGGCCACTGGCCACCATTGCTGCAAGGGCATACTCGACTTAAAATACTATATTCACCTTCAATCAGTATGCTGCATACATGATTTCTCATCCAGTTCAGATTATGTCATGTACTATATAGACTGGCTAGCAACATCAAAAGCATGATTTTTTTCAGTATACACCTTATGAAATTGAGCTGAGGTTTTTCAATGCAACTGTGAAAATAATGTAGTTTACCTAGATGTAGAAATACAGGTTAAGACCATTTTTAGTAAAGCTGACTTGCATGAAAATATTTTCTGGGAAGAATACTTAGTAAAGAAAACCCTTAAGTAGAAGGGCTCTTCTCATATACATCACAGTGCCACAGCTTAAAAGAAAAAGAAGCCAAATTCCTTTAGCCAGGATACAGACTTAACAGACTAAGACTCCATGCAACATGAAACTACATCCTGAAGAGTCAGGATAAAAAATAAACCTATTTTAACAGCTATTAAAACTGTTTAGGAAAAACACATTATTGACTTGATAGCAGTGATATCTCCTTTCACACCTCCCCATTTATCATTTCTGGTCTGTAAAAATCCAGAATCCTGATACCTGGAAATTCCTGTTCTTAGAACAGGGAATATAGTTTTCCAAATGCACCTTTCCCTGCAATCTCCAGAACAAAGAAGTGACAGGAAAAGTCTCCAAAACCAGAAATCTGCCATGATGATAGCTGCTTAACCTTCAAGGCTTTGTATCTGTGCAGAAAGACTACCTCCCTCGTGAATGTCAACACAGACAACAAGCAAGCAGATAACACAGGCAGGATACGGACCACTGTTAGCCCCCCTTTCATGACACAGCGTTAGATTTATTCCTAAAGGGACTTGTTTAACAGAGGCTGAAGACTCAGAGTCTTCCGTCACATAAGGCCCAAAGCAACATTTCTAATACTATACCAGTAGTGTGGAAGCTTTGTTACAGAAAGATCATCTGTAACTTTTGCAGAATTGCTGGAAATGAGTCAGAGAAGGCACATCCAAACAAACACCTCCTTCGACTTAGCAGTAGAAGTTACAACTTTGGAGAACACCTCAAGAGAATGGGAGGTGCCTGGAGAAAAAAGAATGAATCTGCCTAGCTCAGATTTAATTCTTACCCCCAAAATGCGGTTGGATGAAAAAGAGGAGGGAAAAAACAAAATAAAACTCCCATTACTTCAGCGGTGAATGTAATAAAGTGGGAAAGAATGGACATTTTAAGTATATGTACATATCCAGAACTGCTTTCTATTATTTGCAACTGAAACCAAACAGGAAAAAACAGGCACTGCCTTGTAACAGACCAGGTACTCCACAGGTCAAATATAAAGAGCGGGGCAAACTGCAAAGCACAGGAAGAGAGGCAAAACACACAAAAACTCTCATTCACAACATGCAATGCTTATTTTGGACAGGGCAAACTAGAAATAACAATTTTTAGGCTCTTTCAGATCTCTGTGGGCTCACCTAAGGCCCTAAATTTCACACGACAGTCTAAAGATTCAGCAAAGGTCATAGCATGAACATTCATCTGTAGTGGGAAGTTAGGTATCCAATGATATTGCATGGCCAAGTAGGAACCTTTAAGCAACTATGTAGCTTTAGGATTTGGCCCCTGGGCCAACCCACTCATTCTTCCTGCATCTCAATTTGCACTACTGTAAAAGGAGAATAATATACCTCAGAGGGTTGTGAGGCTTACCTGCTTAAGGTATGCAAAGCTCTTCAGCATTTTCCTCCAATCCCCTCATAGATGTGCAAATCATTGTACTATTACTATTCCAGGATAATGACTTCAATTTGATG